TGTGTTTTCTTAAGTTTTCACGGGTACTTACATGTATGGTATTCAGCTTTGTTCAGGTATTTTCCCACATCATTATTGTTTCCCACGTCATTATATATATATATTCCATTAATCTTTTATCTTAGTCCCAGTTCAGGTTGTCAATAATGATATGCTAATGCAAATCTCTTTTCCTTAATTGCGGTTCTTAGTGATCATAATGCCCCATTTGCCCAATGGGGCACTGAACGTGTTTGCAGCTGGCTTGAGGACTTTGGCCTTGGTCAATATGTCATTTTTGCAAGACAGTGGATAACATCTGGCCATACACTTTTGACAGCAACACCTCAGGATATGGAAAAGGTAAACATTCTAGAATACTAAAAATGCCATTAAGAATTCATTCTGGTTTTTTTCCTGGTTGTTCGTACATTCAGGTGATACTGTATATCAACCTGTGAAGGGTTAGTACCACTTTATAATGCCTTAGTAAGGCCACACTTGGAATACTGCATCCAGTTTCAGTCTCCATGATATAAAGAAGATGTTAAGACTCTAGAAAGAATGCAAAGAAGAACAACAAAGATGATTAGGGAACTGGAGGCTAAAACATATAAAGAACGGTTGCAGGAACTGGGTATGTCTAGTCTAATGAAAAGAAGGACTAGGAGAGACATAATAGCAGTGTTCCAAGTATCTCAGGGGTTGCCACAAAGAAGAAGGAGTCAAGTATTCTCCAAAGCACCAGAAGGCATGACAAGATGCAGTGGATGGAAGCTAATCAAGGAGAGAATTAACCTGAAACTAAGAAGAAAGTTTCTGACAGTTTGAACAATTGATCAGTGGAACAAAATGCCTCCAGAAGTTGTAAATACTCCAACACTGGAAGTTTTTAAGAAGAGATTGGATAACTACTTGTCTGAAATAGTGTAGGGTTTCCTGCTTGAGCAGAAGGTTGGATTAGAAGACCTCCAAGCAGTGGTGGGATTCAATTTTTTTTTACTACCGGTTCTGTGGGCGTGGCTTGTGGACATGGCAGGGGAAGGATACTGTAAAATCTCCAGCCAGAGGTGGTATTTGCCGGTTCTCTGAACTACTCAAAATTTCCGCTACCAGTTCCCCAGAACTGGTCAGAACCTGCTGAATACCACCTCTGCCTCCAAGGTACTTTCTAACTCTGTTATTCTGTTATATGTAATTTTGAAAATATAAAAGAAATCATTAACCCCCAGTGATATTTGATTGGGCTGCAGCAATATCTCCCCCATAGCATACATCAAAGGTTGGATTATCTCCCCAAAATATAAAGCAGAGGTCTAAGCAAGAAAAATGAGTAGCAATTGTCAGATTGCTTTGCGTAAGACCTTTGTTCTTTGGGGAAGGGAACACTGTTTTTAATCATAGTCACTTACAGAGGTTACGCTAGAAGTTTAGTAGAGGGACAGAATAAGTCATGTTTAAATGGTGCATATATGATTCAAGGGAGTGTTTCAGATTATTTTGATTGGTTTTATTTTATTTTATAGCTGCAGTCCACATTTAATAAAAGATTTTCAAAGACCCTTAGTACCAGTAATTCGTGAACATTCCTAAAACCTCTACTAATGTAAACCAAATAATAGGATTTGTAAATCCAATAGCAGGCATTGCTAATACAACTCTAGTTAATAAGGAGGTTTAATTATGTAATGCACATATAAATATATCTTTGTAGGGAGAGTATATAAACTTGGTTGCCATCATAGAGAAATGGAGGAATTAAAACATTTGTTCAGGGTTGATTTGCCAGAATTATCATACAACAAAACTGAAAACAAAGCAGAAGGCAGTGCAAATAGGACAGAATGTATGCATATTCTTGTATGTGCTTTTTCTAGCGTGTTCATTTTTATAAGGATTTTCAAAATCAATTTCTCTTTTTTTATTTTTCTCTTACAGTTATACACATGGGGGCGCACATGGGGGCACGAGAGAGAAAAAGAGAGAAAGATTTTGCACAAGCCTTTTTCACATATAACTTTTTTCGGCATATTTTAAGCTTAAAAGTGAAGTACATCACTATTTATGAGCCATATTTCCAAATAAAATCAGCCATGCATATATTGAATTCAAAAGAGTTGCTCTTGTTAGCAGCTCTATGTCCTGGACTAGCAGACAACAAATTGGATATCTTGAGGTTTAAACATTAAAACATTAATATTACTTTGGAAATTCCCAATTTCCAATTCAGCCTAGTATCTTTTATTCAAGAACGCAGTGTATTTGTGGTCTATTTGAAGGTGTGTCAAGTTGACAGGTACTGTTTTAAATTATCATCGTTGCTTCCCTTTACAGGAGTTAGGAATTAAGCATCCTTTACACAGGAAGAAATTGGTTTTGGCAGTCAAAGCTATAAATACAAAACAAGATGAAAAGTCTGCAGAGTTAGATCATATCTGGGTTACACGTAAGTATTTGAAATGGCAAAATGAAATGAAAAGATTGTTTATGGTTTTAGCCTACTTTACAATTTAGAAGTTTGTATATGTTTTTTTAAAAAACTTACTCAACTTCAATTTCATCTCTAGAAACATTACAGAGGCTTTATTTTCATTTTCTTCAATTTTATTTCCCTGACATGTTTTTGAGCTTTGTATTGCTTTATATAAACCATGAAATTAGATGGAATTAGATTAAATTTCTTAAAAAGCTGTTTTGATGGGGAAAATATGAAATATGTAGAATGGGCACAAACAAGGATGGAAATCATATTATTCTCCAGAGAATATAAGAAGCTAGAAACACTATTCTGCAAAAACAAAATTTAGTCTTGTCAACAAGTGAATTGTTTTTTTTTTATTAAACAGTAAAATATATTTATGTGTATTCCGCAGGATGGCTTGATGATATTGGTTTACCTCAATACAAAGATCAGTTTCATGAATCACGAGTTGATGGCAGAATGCTACAATATCTAACTGTGGTAAGCTAAAATCCTTATTTTCAAAGTTTGGGACTAGTAAAAGTTCCTTTCTTTCATTCAGATGGAGCAGAAGAGAATAATTTTATCCCAGGATTCCTTTCTTTCGAAACCATATTTAGAATTTGTATTCCCAAGTATTGTCAGTATTTAACTTTCCAGACACTTTGAGTGGACAGGTAACCAATCCAGATCATTTTTGGATATTCATGGTAAACATGACAATGGAAGACTCCCACACACATACTTTTTTTTAAAAAAAACAACAACACTAATTGCTGCTGTAGCTTAAAACAAGGGAATGGTTTTTGTTAAAATCATACTAGCAAAGAAGATAAATCTCATTCTGCACCACATCTTGATCCCAAGAAAAATTATTGTTCCTATCAGTGGTACGATTCCAAAAAACATTCTACTGGTTCTGTGGGTGTGGCTTGGTGGGCATGGTTTGGTGGGCATAGCAGGGGAAGGACACTGTAAAATCTCCATTCCCACCCCACTCCTGGGGAAGGTTACTGCAAAATCCCCATTCCCCACTCACTCCTGAGGAAAGATTACTGCAAAATCCCATTCCCTCCCCACCCCACTAACCTGCTTTCCAGCTCCATTCTCCTGTGCAGGACAACAAAAAGAGACCCAGCCGATCAGCGGGGACTCGGGAGGCAGAGAATAGATGGGACAGGGCCAGTCAGAAGTGGTATTTGCTGGTTCTCCAAGCTACTCAAAATTTCCGCTACCAGTTCTCCAGAACTGGTCAGAACCTGCTGAATACCACCTCTGGTTCCTATATTAAATAGTAGATCAATCTAAGCATCATACTATGTACACACTTTTTCTCTGTTCAGTCGTGTTCTATTTCAGTTTTCAAAGACTGGACAAGTCCCAGCAGTTTTCTTGGCAAGGTTTTTCAGCAGTGGTTTGCCACTGCCTCCTTTCTAGGGCTGAGAGAAAGGGATTGGATCCAGGTCACTCAGATGGCTTTGGGCCTAAAACTCCTGTTCTAGTCTGATGCCTTAATCAAACTGGCTCTCATGTATCCATAATGTGTGGATATACACTGCCAGTATCATAATGCAAAAGAGTAAACAGAACAAAACAAAGCCAGGTTTTTGGATCCAGAACTGAGATGATGTACAATAGTCAAAAGAAACAGTCAACTTCAGAACTCCAGCCCCTATAAAATGGAGCGGGATCTCCTGCTAATTAGTTGCATAAGGCACATTCCACCTTCCTCCCCAATATTTTATACACCACATACAGGTTAGTCCACAACTTATAACCATTTGTTTAGCAGCCATTCAAAGTTACAATGGTACTGGGGAAAAAAATAACTTAAGATTGATCCTTGCACTTACAGCCGCTGCAGCATTCCCATGGTCACAGGGTCAAAATGCAGGCACCTGCCAACAAGCATGTGTCTACGACTGTTGCAGTGTCCCAGGGTCATGCGATCTCCGTTTGCGCCCTTCCCAGCCATCTTCCAACAAGCAACGTCAATGGGGGAGGCCGGGTTTGCTTTACGACCAAGTGATTTGCTTAACAATTATGGCAAAAAAAGTTCATAAAACCAGACATGCCACACTTAACAACTGCCTTGCTTAGCAATGGTAAATTTGTTTCCAGTTGTGGTTGTCAGTCAAGGATTATTTATACAAAGAAGATTCTGTGGTTACAGAACAAGAAACAGTGTTTCCTTCTTATTTTGTGACCTCTGGCAACAGTACTAAGAATCATAGTGATGGTACATACAGGCTTCAATAGGAAAGAAAAAAGAAAAAACGTGTGGTTTTGCTTTCTTAGAATTCTAAGAAATTCTAATTCTAAAGTTTAGCAACTTTATTCCGTTAAACAATGCTTTCCTTTACAGAATGACCTCCTCTTCCTCAAAGTTACAAGCCAGCTACATCACCTCAGCATTAAATGTGCCATTCACGTTCTACACCTGAACAATTTTAACCCACATTGCTTACGCAGAAGACCAGCAGATGAGGTGAGATAAAAGTCATTGATTTTTGCTTCCTAGACTCAGTGCTCTTATATCCATTAGTGAGGAAATCTATCAACCTTTTTCATTCCTAGGCAAGCGCACTAGTTAATTTCTCCTTGCCTTTTGCTTCTGTTCAGAGAAATATGAATGCCATGTACATATTTATGTGTGATTCTACAGATAAGATGGACTCCGTTTGGGAAAAGAAATTTGAATAAAACCTATGGAACAGATTAAGGAAGAATTACTGAATATTTAGAAAGAAGCACTTTAATAGCAGCATCTACGTGGACTAATTTATTGTATTTACTATGCATTTTTTCTGCAATACAGAATAATATTTCATCATCAGAAGTAGTACAATGGTCCAATCATAGAGTGATGGAATGGCTCAGATCAGTAGATTTGGCAGAATATGCACCAAACCTTCGAGGAAGTGGCGTTCACGGTGGACTCATTGTAAGAAAAAAGAGCTTAATTTCCTTTAAGTTTTGCAATATTAACATGACAATCTATCAACACATCAACTTTCAATTTTTAATGTTTTGTCCATTTTGTTGATTGAAGAAAAGGAAAGTCAGTTTATGGATTTTTTTCCCCTGAATGTTTTATGTGAAATAAATTTGGCAGTATTTAACTTACCGTTTTATAAATGATCTTGTGTTATAAACCAGTACCCAAATCATTAACACTTATATTAAATAAATTAGAGAGCAGAAACTACTTTCAAATCATCAATTGATACAATGTTGGCTGAGTCTTTTAATTGATATAAACTATCCCAAGCAAGGGAGAATAAATTATCTTCTATCATGAATTTTTTAAGCAACGGTGCAAATTCAAGTGGTTTAGACTGAAGATAGACAGTTACAAATGCTTTTTAAAACAATTGCGTTCTTGACCTCAGTTATTGTTTATCTTATTTTAAACAAGATCACATTAGCCTAAGAACTGTATACATTTCATAACATTATATCAAGCATATAATCCTCCTCTTCCTTCTTTTAAATCTTGTTTCTACAATTGATCTCTTCCTTTGTGCCTCTAAAAATGACACATCAGATGTTATTAATGTAGGCAGCATATATATTTATGCATATATAGTCCTACTTAATTCTGTTCATCTCTTCTTAAGTTTTTCTGTTCTTTCTTTCTCTTTTACTACTTTTTGTCATTCAATTATAAAATCCCTTGAGGCAATGGATTTGTTATAAACGACCAATACCCCTTTCCAAACAGATTGGCTTGGATCCTGGCTTCCTTGAGCAAAACTATGCTGCTCAAAGTCACTGCTGGACAGAAAAATTGGAAATATTTTATCTTTGTTACAATCCCCTCTCATGGATTTGTTGCAAAAAAATGGAGAACCCTTTAGAATAGCATGGGCGGTGCATTGGGGAAATATAGGAGGAAAGGGAAATAATTTCTTTTCCTGACATAGGGAAAATTCTGTTGAATCCCAAATCCCAGGAACAACTCCAGGATCCAAGACATTAAGGCTCACTATAAGAGATGTGATCAAATAGAAATGGATGGAAGCTCATACTAACCCTATAGATCTACAACTGCAATATAATCCTCTGAAACAGATGTTTTTCTTTGATATCCCCCCCAAAAGTGCTGCTTTTAAAATGCCATTTTTAAAATGTATATGTCCTGTTAATGTTATACAATTGTTGGGAATGGCTTGTAATGGCTAACACGTGAAGAAGCCCTGACGCTTCCTAGCTCTGTGATACGGTAATACTATCCTGCATATGCAGAGACTAATGAAAACAGGCAACCCTCAGAATAGCCTTAGAATACCTTGCTGCTTAGAGACCACACTTAAAGCAGCACAGATGCTCTTTGTTTCTCCCACAGATCCTGGAGCCTCGTTTCAATGGAGATACTCTAGCAATGCTCCTCAACATTCCACCTCAAAAGACTCTGCTAAGACGCCACTTAACCACAAATTTCAATGTGCTCATCGGGCCAGAGGCTCAGCAAGATAAAAGAGAAATCATGGAATCCACCGCTTATACAGCTCTCACCACCACTGCAAAAGTCCGGGTAGGCTACAGAGAAACCATACAAACTTTAGAAATCCTGCTTGAGTTCCTAGTTGGCAGTTTAAAAGCCGGTAATCTCTTAGGCAGCAATCTTGTAATCCACATAACTGCTTGAGAGTGGGTTTCATTGAGAGGTCAATGGGAGCTCTTTCTAAATAGATTAATAAGAGTCATTATAACTGGTATGTTAGTTTAAAGTCAAGGGTTTTTTTGTACACTAAGAGCATTCAACCCGAAGGAATTCTGGCAAATCTGACTAGGAGAGGATAAGGATTTCAGTTTAGTGTCCCCAAATGAGAAATATCTGCTCTAAATATTAAACCATTTGGGGGCTCTAGTAACAGCATCTGCATAATATTGAAGGCTTTGCGTTAGTAGCTGAAATACTGTACTTAAACTTATCCATAAGATGGAAAAATGGCATAGCTTCTAGCCAAGGCACAATGATTCAAACATTCCCCTGCTGATTGTTGCATCTGACTTACATTCATTTTGCGTTCAAGTTAGAGCCAATCTGGTCTTGTAAATTAAAAGGCTGGCTGGGTGTCGAGAAACCTGAATTCTAGTCCTCTTTCAGCTTTAGAAGCCAGCTAGGTTATTCCCTCTCGGCCCTAAGAAGAAGTCAAGGACAAATTGATTCTCCCAAAATAATGCATGGGTTTATATATCAAGTCTGATTCAAAGGCGCGCACACACACACACGACAGAAGAAGGCTAGTAGGGTTTATTTCTAAGTGAACATAATAGGAGGACTAATCTATGGTGTTAACCAGGATTCATTATGGAGCAATATGCTTGCAATGGTATTTTTTTCTTTTTTTGAAGAAAGGCTTGTTTGTCCAGATTTTTTTAAAGCTTGTTTTTAAAAAGAATCACGAAGTTGCTATAGTTTTATGCTACTTGAGAGGTCTGATATTTGGGAGCAGAAGTGAAAGAAAAGCTCTCCATAAAGATACAAGAACCTTTGTGTGTGTTTCTCAGCATTGAGTACAGTAATCAGTTTGTTTTAAAGAAGCATTTGTTTATGTTCTGCAACTTTGTGTATCACACACACTGCAGCTTGGGATCTGTGTTTTTCTTCTGTGCATTTAAAAGTATGCATGCCCTTGAGGATCTTAAATTTAATGTACCTAGAGAGTTAAGGTTGAATAGGAACATGAATGCAGCAGTACAAAGTTTAGTCTATTACCATTCCTGTCCTTTTAAAGGTTATGTTAATACTTCTTGATAAAATGGTAAAAGTTATGCTCTGATTTTTAAAGAACTTTACCTCAGGTTAATTTCCCTATACGGAGTCCAAAAAGTTATATCCGTGAGTCCTTTACTAACCCTTCTCTTTGGCATAAAGACAATCCCCCCCTTTCCTTTTGATGCGTTTGTTCATTTCCTACAGGAACTTGAAAAATCAATGAAAACATTAAAATTAATCTTGTAAAGTCTGTGAAAGGTGTTATTAATTAGCAGAGGTTGTTTTTAACTGTCAGTGTTTTCTGTATTTCCCCTGTGGTGATTTTTCTGACAATGCTTTCTATCTTTCTCCACCCACCCACCTTTCATTCTTGACAGCCAAAGAAACTTGGATTTTCACATTTTGGAAACTTAAGAAAAAAGAAGTTTGATGAATCTACAGATTATATTTGCCCTATGGATACAAGTACATCCAATGGCACTCCGAAGAGTTGTGGTGCCTACAGAGTGCATAACACCCTCCCTGACAAAGAATTAGAGAAACTGGATCAGGTGGGCCAGGGGGACTGAGGCACTCACCTTTCATCCTCTTGGTGCATTCTGAAGCTTACAGATAACCTTTTCTTATAATTTAACTAAAGCGCATAATGCATCTGCATGTCTTTAGTGAATGTATTAGGATGAAGCTTGAAGAATCTTTAAAATATCACTTGGAATTTTTTCCTCCCATTTGCAATTGTTTCATCCTACTCATCTTCTCAAGCCCTTTTTCAGGAAAAGAAAAAGCTTTACACAACAGTTGTAGCTGACATTCAAGGCACCTAAAATTGAGCTGTTGTGGCAGCTCAGAGCTTTTTATATTTCCTTTGTAATGCCCAACAATAATTTTAAACGTTTTGTATTAGCTTTTTCATGTCCACAATGGTAAGGATGATCTATTTTATTCTTGACAGCACAGATGAATTGTATATTTTTATTAAAATGTTCTTTTAATTGTGCAGCGTCTGCACCATAGTGGTTACATACGATAACATTAAAATATAGGCCTAATGATGGATCTTTTCTAAAAAAACAACAACTGAAAATACAATTTCTTGAAGAAGGCAATAAAATATTTACTTGGGAAAACGTCTTAATTGTTTTTGTTGTGATTACTCTTTTTGTGATTGAATTATGCTTTTAAAAGTGCTTAGACTGATTTTATAAATTGCTGTCCCAAGAAATAATACATAGAAAAATGTGTAAAGTAATTCTTTAAAAGCCTGAAAAATGGAGTCATTGAAGTTTTCTGCAAGATATAAGATAGCAAGGCAAACTTCCATTTACTCTAATTTCTGAGTCAAACTGATCAGAAAAATTATGGTAATATCACAAGATTAATTGCAAAAAGTTTTTTTTTTCATATGCATGATTTACTACATCTAACATGCTCCATTTTTCTCTCATTTAAAATGTAATTGTTTTTCCATTTTGTTTAAAGCATGTAATTTGTTCAGTATGTGTGTGATTTATACACAGTTGGAACTATTTTAATGTTCTGTTTATTTTTAAAACACAATTTTCAGTCAAACTTCTGGAACTTCTTAAAATTAAACACTCATATAGATTTTTCCTCATATTTTCTTAGCCTCCTAATTTTGTGCTCAGCCTCTTTTTGTTTCAAACTCACTGTGAACTCCCTTCTCAGCTGAGGATAAAGGATCTGTCTAGTTTACAGGAATCAATCATGTACAGAAAAGCTTCTCACCATGCATGCATGTAATACCACAAAGTAAATGAAAATTAAACTTGGAATCTGCATCTTTTAAATATTATGATTCCTGACAACTTCTAATTTAGAGTTATATGCTATTTCACTGCCTATCTAAAGCAGTCATGATTATAGTTTGGAAACCATGGAACCACACTATTTGAAGACCGATCTGTTCTGTCCTGATTCATTTAAGGCAGCATTTCTCAAACTTGGCAACTTTTAAGATGTGTAGACTTCAACCCAGAAATTTCCAGCCCAAACATTGATTTAAAACCATTAAAACAAGTCAACAAAATTTAATTGAATATCAATGAACACTAGTTTGGTATGGAATACACAGCTCATTCAGGAACTGTATCTTAGAGTTTAATAAGTGTATAATTGCCATCTATTGTTTCCTTAGAAAAAAAACATTACAGAGATTAGGCTGCCTTGTCTGCCAAAAATGTTCATTTTTAATGGGAGGAAAACTATGCTCTTAGCTTTTTCTACCCCAGGTGCTAGCCTTTAAGGCCTGAAAGAATCCTTAAACACATGCAGTCAATTGTATGATTGGCTAGTAGGCCTATTTGAGTATCACTTAAGGCTGATTTGTATAGAATACTGTAAGGTTAGACAAAGGTATCTAACCAGAGGTGGTATTCAGCAGGTTCTGACCAGTTCTGGAGAACCGGTAGCAGAAATTTTGAGTAGTTCGGAGAACCGGCAAATACCACCTCTGACTGGAGTTTTTACAGTATCCTTGCCCTGCCATGCCCACCAAGCCACGCCCACAGAACTGGTAGTAAAAAAAAAATTGAATCCCACCACTGTATCTAACCCAAAAGAAAACCCCAGCTATCTGGAATAGGTAGATTATATGAAATCCAACTTTGGAAATAGGCATACATCTAAGTAAGGCTAGTTGATAAATGTCAATTTCTAAAATTTGCAAGGGGAAGGGATAGTGGAAAAACAACTAATCAACATAGACCACAAGAATTAGTTGTAATGTTCTTAGGCACCTAATCTCCCAGGGATCTAAACAAGGCAGGCAGCATAATCATTTAGAAACAAATTACCATAACCACAAATATCTCTGAATACAGAAATTCAGGCCCTACAATGAGGACATTGAGTGGGGATAGAAAGGGGAAAGAACAGTGGACATATTCCTACTATCTGTGTTATGCAGTGATAACTGCCATGACTAAATGTTGGAGTCAGATGAAAAACTGAAATACATTTTAGAATAATGAAGCATTGAGCATATAAATAGATGTCTTATGTGTTAAAAAATGAACATGAATGTCTTGAGTTATTAAAATAGCATGATAAGCATTTGAATCTGCATGAGATCCAGAAATGCTTTTTGAATTACTGAAAACAGCTCAGTTGCATTCTTTTATTTAAAAATATAGTATCAAACATACCACTTTTTAAAAAAAAGTCGCAATGAATTACCTTTTCATTTTTGGCTCCACTAACCTACTAACTGTTTGTTAAATTCAATGGTGTCAGATCTATGTTTATGGAAAACATGCAACTTGGAAATCTTTCCAATATTGGGGGTGGAGGGAATTATGTAATTCAACCTCAACTTCCTGAACACAGAGACATGTGTCATATGTGTGGAACAGTTCTGCTATCCCAAAAGTTGTGCATGCAGGTTTGGCTAAGATTGGATGGCTGCTTTAATTTCAATCTAGTTGCCGAAATGATTTTGCAGATGGACCATTCAGAAGGAACAGTGATGCAAATAGGAGAGCTGTCTCGAGGAATAAGCAACCTCACGGTATGTATGAATTCAAGAGGGCTATCTAGAAATTTTATTATGGATCATTTTTAATCAGCTTAGATTATTTATATATTAGCTGCCATCCCCATGCAAGAGGGGGATTTTTTTAGATCTAGCAAGCTCCCCTCGTTTATTTTCTTTCTTCCCACAGAGGTCAATGAAAGAAAAATATTAATTTCAAAGTTTTGGATCCTTTAAGGGAGGAATGAAGAAGCCTAGGCTTCTGATTGGGAAAAGGATTTTGGAGAAACTCCTTCATAAATTATTATCATAAAAAGATTTCTCATTTTCTAGTGTATCTGACTGTAGATGTGGCTTGATTTGTTTTTAATTTCCAGACAATGTTAAGTCAAGATCAGATGCTGAACAACGATCAATTTTTAACACCAACTTTTGAGGACTGGAGATGAAGATGCCACATGAGTAACACTAAGTCCTTTCTCCTATTATGACAGAAAACTGATGCAGGCTGGATGCTGTACATAAAAATGTATTGTTTTCTTTGCTATTAAAATATGTGCAACTTCATTGTGCTTTTAAAAAACATACACGTATACACAGATAAACACTCTGGTCTGGGTAGTTAAGACATGGATTCAGAGAACTATGCAATTTTTCTAGAAATTAGGAAATCAAAGATCTGTTGATCACTTATTTTAATCACCATGAGCACATTTAATAGTGATCCTTTTTCCTATATTTTGTAATTTTAAGATTTGGTTATGGTGCAGTGGAACTGCAATGTATCTCAAAGCTGTAGCTATTCTTTATTGCCAGTGTAGTTTGTGCAATGATTTATATTGAAACTGAACTATGGCACTGAAATAGTGATTCCTTGATGTATTAAAAATGTGTTCACCTGTTCAAAAGATAGTCATGATCAAGAGGATTATAACTCCCAATCACTCCATGGAGCTGTCTTTGAAGTAGTATGGAAACAATTTTCCATTGTCTTTTTCTTATTTTTTTTAAAGATTTCTGAGCTAGTCTACAATCTCAGTATTCCCTGGTGTTCTTCTATCCAAGAATTAACCAGGTCTGGTGCTGTTTGATTTTCAAAGCTTATTAATCTGGTGCTACCACCAACGTCCGCACTCACTGTTTTCCTGAGGACCTTGACTAGTTGCTATGTATATCAACTACTGAGTGCTGAAAGCTCCCAATATTTGATGAAGAAATCATTCCTATCCTCTTTGCAATCATTCTCGTCTTCCATCTTGCTCATTTTGAACTATACATGTAGTCTACAGCAAACAGCCTTCTTATCCAGTCTAAGCTGTGACAGGTTAACACTTCTAGTAGCGATTTGCTTATATAACATTTCATTGTTGTACTGTGATAGAAACTGTGGAAAAGTCAGAGGTGATTGCACTTTGTTCAAGGGTTTAGATGGATGTATTGATTCATGCAACACAAAATGTCTCTTAAATACATTGTAATAAATTCTACATATTGTTTGACTTACACATTCAAAGGAAATACAACAGCATGTTGGTGTAGTCTTTCACAGCTGGCATCAATGAAGCAGTGATGAATTTTCTGGTAATATGGCTGGCTAGAGAATTCTGGGAGTTAAAGTCCATAAGTCTTAAAAGTTGCCAAGGTTGGAAACCCCCCAATCCTAGACCATATCCATACAGCCAGAAAGCTCATCACTGCTTTATACACAACAGCCTTGCAGATCAGTATATTTTTGTCCTAATCAACTGAAAACTAAACATTCATTGAAATATTCTATAGATTGGAGTTAATTGGAAGCATGAAAAACAATGAAACAATGAAAAACAAGCAAATGCCCACAGTTGGACTTCATCCCACTTATTTTTCAGTGCAGAAAATTCTTGAAGTCATCTCCCAACTATTAAATTTTAATATTTTCTAGAATTACAGTAATTGAGAGAAAAACGTTAATCAGAAAAGAACCAACCTCTTCAAACTTACCAGTTTTCAGTATTAAAAACACCTTCAAAATTCATAGCTATATACCAAGATTTTATTAAAATGTATGACAATTTGGGAGGTGGGTAATAGTTAATAGTTGCATCTAAACTATCCAAGTTTGCCATTTAAATTCAGGGAGAAGCATTAGTAATATTTCAGCAGTGTGTGTAAACAGCTTTCCACGTCAGGGGAATATTGTTAATTAGAATCTGACATGGTATTCTTTCTTATTCTAACAGAATTGTTCTATTGTTTGCTTCAGTTTCCTCTTGAAATGAGATAAATGGCACACCTCAACACTATTCTCTTTCAGAACTGATTTGGGGGGTAATTGGCCATTCTCTGAATATATAAATATATATTTGCGGAAATATAAAGGCTTGCAGCAATCTACAGTTTAAAGACTTAAATTAAAAAGCTTGTAGCAATTCTAATGCAATCTTGTTCATCTAAAATTTTTTATACAAGTTTGCCACCTACTGGTGATAAAATTCCTTGTTTGCCAAATACATTCCCAATGTAAGTTGTTGCTAATATAAGCACAGCCTTATTCTTCATGCAGAAGTATTAACCTGAAGATATCAACAAATTTATATTGTGGCACCAGCCCAGCTTTCACAATTAAATAACAGGGCTTTGAATATTAAAATCAATGGTAACTTGCAGATGTGGCTCAATATTCAGCTGTCCCTTTCAGACCTACAATCAGTTTGAACATATTTTTATTTGGTTTAAAGGTATAATTCTGGATATAAAATATTGCATGTTCTAATGTCAAGCTTTATTGTACAATTTTTTTTACAAAAATGATTTCATTCAAGCATGTATACAGTGTTACCAGGAGTTAAAGCATATTTGGTCTACAAGGTAAAATATATTGGACCAGAGTATCTTATAACAGTAATGGCAGAATTATGATTTATGTCATGCAGAATGAATATTTTGAATCCAAATGAGGTATAAGATTCTGCATGAGAAGAGTTTTAAAGTATTTATAATTTCCTTGCTTGTCCTCATTATTATCTAAATATTATTAAAGTTTTCTGTGGAAAATGTTATGCTCCAAATCATATCACAAATGATTAGGTGATGTCAGTCTTAGTTGTATTTACAGCTGTTGATCTGTATGAAGAACATTTCCCACTAATAACTTGGTGTGAAGTTTATGATTGGAAATTGTGCTGTAGTTGCATGGTTGTTCTAAATATTGCACATGGAAACCTGCATATTTGATTCAGAAGGCAAACGTTTTGGTTCCAGCCAATATAGATGGAAGGTTATATGACTCTTTTTACATGACCGACATCATTCCTATAAGAAACATCAAGCTAAATGCATCCCTGCTTCTCATCAGTGAAAGACTGTCCCATAAAAGAACTTCAATATGATTTTGTCCAACCAAGGAAAAAGAGGAGCATGATTTCTCTCAAGGAAAGTCTTAGTG